CTGAGACCAGCTTATCAAGGACAGTAATCCTGTCAGTGATGTCTGGGCGAGATACGCTCTTCAAGTTATGCGCAAGTAATTAATCAATCAATTATGCAAAATTATGTACCCAAATTATGCAAATTATGTATATCTGCGTATCTCTATTTTAAAAATATAGTCTAGATCAAAAGAATTTTCGTGATTGAATTTTTATCACAAATTAGAAAAATAAAATCACAAAATTTTATATTAATAATTTTTTTAGATATTTTTTAGAATTAAATCTCAATAATAGTTTATTGCTTACACAGATACTTTAAACAAGCAGTTTACAATCAAGACGATTTGGAAGCAAGGAGCCACATGCATTTAGCAAGTACAATGGCAGGCGTTGGTTTTGGAAACGCTGGTGTTCATCTCTGTCATGGACTTTCGTATCCTATTAGTGGAAACGTTCGAAACTTCCTACCAAAAGTAATTACAAATTTGAATTTATATATAATCCTTTTACTATAGCATTATATTTTAACTTGCACAATATATATATATTTTAGATTTCATTATTTTTTATATCTTAAATATAATTAAATATTTGTAAAATTTTTTAATGTTTATTTTATATATTTATTGTATATCATGTTATTTAGGGATATAGCAAGGATCATCCTATAATTCCTCATGGTTTATCTGTGGTAATCTCCGCACCAGCCGTATTTTCCTTTACCGGAAATGCATGTCCAGAGAGGCATCTGGAAGCTGCAGAATTGCTCGGTGTAGACATCAAAAATGCCAAACGAGCAGATGCGGGCAAAATTTTAGCCGACACGGTGAAAGAATATATGCGCGTTATGAAAATCGAAAATGGTTTGACAGAACTTGGTTTTAAGAAAGAAGACATTCCTACGTTAATTCAGGGCACTTTGCCTCAGGTAAATATAATTAACGCGTGACATATACTTTACTAAACAAAAGAAAGTAAAACAAAACGTAAATATAAAAACATAGCATAAAATAAATATAAAACATAGCATAACCCCCAATATTTTACATTCTGTCTTTTAAAAACGTATATTAAATTTATTTTTTCTTTTCTTTGCAGCATCGAATTACCAAATTAGCGCCACGTGAGCAGTCTGAAGAGGATCTTGCACAATTATTTGAAAATTCATTCACCATTTTTTGATAATTATTAAACGTTTAACAAGATAAATATTTTGTTAATTGTATATAAATAAATTGTAACACATAAAAATTTTTATACAATAAAAATAAGATTTTATTTTTAAAAAAGCATGTATTTTAATATAATTGTAATCAATTATGGATTTAATATATATTCGTAAAGTTACTAGAACGGCCGATTAGTAATCGGCGGTACAAAGTTCAAATCCGGCCCTCATTCTATATATTTGCGAAACTTTAAATCTCGCAATTTTTCAGCAATATTCAGAAAATATATAATAAAAGAACCTCATTAATATCCTATCACTCCACATTTGAAAAAATAAACGGCACTTCCTTCATTCCTAAGGAAGATATCTACTACGCCAACGTAAATTATAATAATTATATACTTTGTCCTATTCTAGAATAGAACCCGGCCTCAGTTCTATTTGTAAAATATTTGATTTCCTCACTCAAATAAAATGCACAGAAATTGAACATTGTAATCTTAAATTATGAAACAACACACATATATAATATAAGGGAACAAATATTTAACTTATAATGTACACCCATAGCTATGTTTATTAAAATAATTCTAGCGGAATACAAAAGAATGATATTGTATCAGTAGAAGGAAGATATATGGATACGCTTTTTGTACGTATTGATGCGTAAAATAGCAATATAAAGGTCAATTACAGTACGTACGATGTATCAGAGGAGGAGTATAGGAATCCCTGTGAGGCTATGTTCCGTTTGAGCAAACGTTATAAGCATTTCCATCTTCCTTTGGCATATAACGAATAATAAAATTAGAATGATGCTTATAACGTGTGAACATCAAACAGAACATAGAATTTCTAGGTATCAACATATGCTACATCTCTTTCCGAAGTTGGCTTATTGTTTATAGATTCGTTTAAACCTGTCTTTTTTATATTGCTATCTGTAATGCCTGAATCATCGTACATTACTCGAGATGTATTATTATTAGCTTCGAAGATATTAATAAGATCGAATTTTTTTGGCTCATTATCTCGTGATAGCATGGTATTAACTGTAATTTCCTATTCAAATGTTCGAATGTATCAACTAACAAATACTGTTCATTTTAAAATTCGACAATTACTCATATAATTTATACATCATACAATTTTATATTAATCTGTCAAAATTTGATAGATATAGAAAAAAAAATAACTTCTAGTAGTATTCTTTTCATCATACCTTGATTATATGTATCAGCTTTTTTTACTTGTTTCGTCTCAGTTTCCTATAAAACAAATATATAACAAAATGAAATACAGGTCATACTCAGCAAGGCAGAATCTTAGATACCTAATTTTTATATATATATATATATATATATATATATATATATATATATATAATAATATATATATTATA